TGTGGACCTAAAACCATCTCTGCAGTTACTCTAGTTGCCAACCATCAATAATAATATGTTGATCAATGACACTAACACTACAAAAACAATATACACTATTTCATAGGTGTGCTTATTACGACAAAAAACATCCTTTTATTCCTAAAATTGCTGTAAATCGTTTTAATATTCTTCAAAAGCGAATATCTGTCTACGAGTATAACAAAAAAGAAGCTATTGAGATGAATCAAAAAACAAACTCTGGAGAAGAGGTACCTTGATGATAAAGTGGTTTTTAACTTCCTTATTTTGTTAAACCATTTCACAGTGTGTTTTAAACTTTCGCCAAAATAAAAACGCTTTGTTTTACCTTGTATATTGGAAGATAGGAACTTGCTTATTTGCGTACTTGCGGATGGGAATTTATTGCTTTAAAGGTCATAAAAATCAGTCGAATAGAAAAAAAATATTATAAATTTTAATATACATGAATATTTTAAGGCGTCGTTCGTTCGTGACGTTCAGTGTATTTACTTAATCCATTCGGATTCGCTAAATATAATCTGAACTTTTTTATCTCACAAACTTCTGTTTAAATTTTCGAAAATCTCCTAATCAAAAGACGAGGGTTTTGAGCGCCGAACGAACCATTAAAAGTTGTTCGAATAGGAGCGTTCGAACCGATATCATTTTTCTCGACGTGTACTTTATTAGTTTGGAAATAAAGTTGGGTCGGTTCTTTGCCAGAAGCACCACCGACCGATTCCAATCCGAAACTTGGTCAGAGACTTTGGAAAATTGGGAGTTATTAAGCTCGACGCTTCATCATTGTTAGGTTTTAACGGGACGAGAACTTTGTTCGTACTTTTCTTCTCTCAGATAGGCTGAGAGTCACGTCCGCTCCTAGTTTATTGTTGTTTACGGTTTCTTACGAATTACTTCGACAGTCTCAACATTTTTACCGGTATTGTCAACGGCAGCTGATCCTAAGGGATCCAAAAAGCAGTAGCAATCATAAAGTCAGAAATATCACAGCCATTGTGCAATGTTTGTAGTTTTCTCTTAGTATATAAACACATTGAAATCTTGCTTTTATCACGATGTCACAGTTATTGAGATATCCAAATAGCATATGAGAATTAAGATGCACAGAACTCTCATAAAAGTACGATTTTATTACCTTTCAAGTTTTTATCACACCTTTATGTTGTTAATTAATATTTTATTGATAATTTTTTAAAAAGTAGTAAACACTGATTAGGATATCCCCTTTTTTTGGGAAAAATTAAATATCTTTATTTTTTTTAAGCTTGAATCCCACCGCTGCCACCAAATTTATGAACCAAAAGGCCTTATTTTAATTATTATAGTATATAATATATTTCATTTAATATGTGTATGATTTTCCTATTTGATAAATATATTTCGTATCTATTTTCTATGTTCTTTTCTATACATAATGTTCATAATCTGCTAGTGTGTGATTCACCGTTCTTTATTAAATGTAACAATAGTTATTTTCTATATTTTGCCAAGCGAACCGTAACAAATTCCGGTCGAATTCTATCAGAAAATTCTTTCAATTATCTAATTTCTTTCGTCACTAACCAACCATGTAACCAACGTTACACATTTTTCCCGTTCATGCCAAAAAAGGGCAACGCCAAATAAATTCACCTCTTTCTAATCGGTCTTTCCGCATAGCCGGTTCTCCGATACAAAAAGCAATTTAAAAAGATTATCTTCAATGGAGCTTAAACTTTTAACAAACTAAACAAGTTTAACACGTCGAAAGCGTGCAGGAGTGAGGATTTATACGGTTAACTTGCTTCGAGACTTTTGACCGGGGAATTTTCTACGTAAATACATTCGCTGTTAAAAAGAATGTATACAATGCTCCTAATGCTTGTTCGGAATAATTAATATACACGCTTTGAATAATAAGAAAACAGGCATTAATAAGGATAATTTTTATATTTTCTATAAATTTGGTTCAGTTATTCTTTTTTTAACTTTTAATTTCCATCTATTTCTTAAATGAATGGTTGAAAACATCCTGTTAATAGGTCAAAGAATTATATGTGTACCTAAAATGACCAGGTAATGAAAAGGCAAACTATCTAGCTAGAAAAGGAGCGAACTGGACCATAACCGTTCTGCTTCTTAAGTGGAAACCAACTTAAAGCTGAATTTAAGAACCATAAAGAGTCCATCCGTAACCTGGAAAGAGTATCTTCTAACAGTCTAAGATACTAAAAATTTCTCAAGACTTACGACCGAGGAAAATCAAATATTTTTCTTGATTTAACTAAAGGTTTGTTTCCTTTGGACATTTCGTTGCGGAGTCCGTCGACCGTCGCTATTTGACTTTATCTGAACAAAGTATTTGAACTAGACTGGTTTACTCAAATCTACTTAGCTGAGCGACCTCATTTAGCATTGGCTAGTTTTTATTGGCTTTAGCATGTGTTTTCAACATACGCAGACCTTTAAAAAACTATTTACGTCTTCGCTGTAAAATTAATAGGGTAGCCAACATTTGGACAGTTCAAAATATGCATGGGATTTCCTATGTTTTCAATCACCCAGCGTCACTCGGTATAGATTTTCCGTTACGACCAACTTTTACATACCTTATAACATATAAACAATGCTCCCAGCCCATTATTACTATTAAAATAGCGGCCTATAAATTCTTCTCGTGCAGCATCAGTTCATCGCCACGTGACAATAAATTTCCACCAGACATTAATCAGTGGTACTGCAAGTATGGCCGCCACGCAGCTGCACATAATATCTGCCTGTTACGACCTGCAGCCCTCAGGGGCGTTATACAGTAATGGCGCGGGATCCCCCGAGGCACACTACAAAGACGAATGACCGGGATGTGACAGCTGAAGGGTCGAATGAATGGGAGAAGAGGTGTTGCGACAAGTTGTAGCAGGAAATTGCTAACACGAGATGGTTGTTTCAGGCTTGAATTGATGAAACGCTTGGTCTCGTGGGTCCGAAGTGGCTAACAATAATTTTAATGGGATATTAATGTTTAATTATTGTTTTCTTTTTAAATTATATTCAAAAATACTCTCTATAAATTTATTTACTTTATTAATTTTTAACAAAATAACTAAAGTATCAAATTAAATCAATTCTTTACTGGACATATTAAAACATAAAATAAATATCAGTTTACAAGTTTCTATATAGGCAAAATTAAGTAGCTAGTTTCAAAAACAAGCTTACTGAAAACTCTTCAACTATCGATTTTAAATTTTGATCAGAATTGCCGGGAAACTTCATCGTTAACCTCCTTTTTAACTTCGAATAATCTACTTAATGTTGAAGTAATCTTCTGGTGGTAGCAATTTGCTTTTATAGATGCAAGCTCAAAACCACATAAAACCTGCAGTTCCTAGTTCGATTCTGGATTAACCCTGATAAAATAACAAATTTAATAGAAATAAACAAGATAATCGGCTATAAGGATGTGGAAGATTAGAATTTATGTTTATTTAAATATTCTAAACGACTAGTGGTGGTATAGTTTTGCACTTTTGTCGACTTAAAAACCGACTTATGTATTGTTTCAAAGATGTATTTATAATAAAGATATATTTTTTTAAATGTATTGCGTGGATATTAGAAGTATATTAAATTATAGATTTTCTGTAGAATTCTCATTAATTATATTAAGTTGTGTTTAAAATATGTTCATTTTTAAGTAAAATTCACTGTTTAGTGCTCTTTACAACTACAAAAAAAATTGTTATTCAGATCATACTATTTCCGGATCAACGCTATCTAACAGGGTTAAAAAAAATGTCTTTTTAAACATCACAAAAGTGTTAATTTTTGCGACGTTATTGGCAGTATAATATAAAAGTCATTTTAACGCCTAGGTATAAAAGTTAAGCACTTTTATACCTAAGCACAAAAGTACGAAAATATATTATTAAACTGACATAAAGTGTCAAATTCAACAAGAGTAACTATAGTTTCTCGATATAATTACTTACAAGGTATTACTTTTTATATTATTTTTGATGTTTGAAATGGAGGTTTGAAATTGTTTAAAAATTATTTCTGACGTTTGAAAAAAATGTCATGTTCTATTTGGAATATAAATGTACTTTTTGTGGATCACCTCTAACGTTGAACGTTCAGTATCGCCACAATACGTATCATCTTTATACCTAATAAAACAATATACTATATTTTCAGTGACGTGATTGACAATACAAAAAAATCCGGTTTAAGCTCAAAAGTACAAAAATATGGTATTAAACTGACATTAAGTATCAAAATCGACATTGTTGCACGATATAATTACTCACAAGGTATTGCTTTTTATTCATTTAAAAATAGATTTACAACGTTTGAAAAGAAGTTGAACGAGAGAGATTTTCTTATTTTTTTTATGAAAAAAACACCTACATGCCGAACAGGTTTAAACAACTGTTCAAACAAGTCTAATTCAAGTAATGGCCATTTTAAACACGTATAAGACACTTATTTTTAAACAAAATGAAAAACATATAATAACACTGCTATCTAGTAACCATTGACAAAGTCAACATGATAGTATATATTATGAGTCTATAGCTGCATGGGTGGAACAAAAAGAGAATTTTTTCGAGACCAAGTTGAATAAAGTCGGATCATACAGATACATATTAGAATTCACATTTCAAAATTATTAACCTTTTCTAAAATTTTATGTTTGTTAAGAAACGAAAATGTTTTAGAATAAAACAGTGCGTAATTGGTTGACGAATACAGTGCTTATATTAACACAATTTGGTTATAAAAACTTAAGAGAGGATTGGTATTATTGATTTTGTGTTGTTAGGCCACATAGTATTCAATTTCCCAACTTAAAAATAATTTACAGCGCTTTCCCTTGGCCCATATTTGTTTTTTAAGTTCAATCAGTAACTACTACTGGTACAACCAAAATGCTTTAATATTGAACAAGAATTTATTTACTTATTTAGACAACTTAAAAACGAATTTAAACTTACCGATTGTAGTAATCAGCGTCAGCGAATACAAGAAGCTCGAACTAAAGCTCCATTTGTGTAGATTTTGCTGATAGTACGACATAGTCCCCACGTTAGCACTGTAACCACTATCACTATTTCTCAGAGCTTTGAACAGAGCGTCCTGAAACACTAACACTTCCTCCGCTGCAAGCTTGGTCCAGTTTTCTTTATACAAAATATTCAAGTCTTCAGTTATGCTCCAAAGTCTACTCACAGTCTCTGCCCTCAGCGCCCCGATAGCGTTGTTGTCACTTTGAGGGTTGGCTTTGGACGCGGCAACAGCTGTGTCTTGATAAAGGTCACCTAAAGGATAAATAAACAAAGATTTACATTGGAAGGATTTACAGCTGGAAAAGAAAGGAATAAAACTACCTTCTAAAGCCATGAATGTAAATGCTCCGATGATCGTATACGCTAAAACCAAACAGCAAATTCCCAGTGTTGCTAAAATGGAGGTTGACCTTGGCCCAGGGCAGGAGTAACAGCAGCAAAAGAATGAAGGTTCTTTTGGGTAGTGATTCTTGTGATCATAACAACACTTGTTTACCGCTGGACTACCTTAAATACAAAAGACAAACAGTGTAAATTAAAATGAAGTATTATTAATTATTAGTAAAAAAGGAACCGTTATAGAAGTCTAGAAATTAACTTTTTTAAACAATAACTTGTAGATACTGTTACTTAAAAATCATAGCTCATCATAGCCGCTATGTTTATTAGTTTTGTTTACCGTTTTATTTGATTTGAATTTTTGAGGGCTTTGTTGGGCTTTTTTGAGTTGATTTTATGTTATATTTTGTAATATTTTATCATTGGTTTTATGCAGTGTGTTGAAATCTAGAAAGACTTGAATTACAGTGAGATTATTTAGAATCATAAAATGGAGGCATCAAAAATTAGTTACTTGTGTAATGTGTAATCGTTTGTAGACAATAAGGCATGAAAAATAATAGAAGAACTTTTTACTTGAAAGACTCAGAAATACGATCGAAAAAATACGGCGTCAAAGTCGGCTGAGGAATGATAATCGATGATAATTTTGGCGAGGTCTAGCTCTAAATATGTCTTGATAAGATAATAATAATTAAATAGAGACCTGTAATTTACTTGGCCCGTACTCTTCTCTATTAGCCGACCATTACTACACGTAGTAATTAATAAACTATATTTACTACATGTCACAAGTAGTTTTTTAAATGTCGAGTAGTGAATGTGTAGTTTTTGTAATTAATGTAGTTTTTTTTAAATAACAGTAAAAACATAACCTAAGAACTTTGTTTGTTGATCAATTTAAAGAAATAAAAAATCTATATTTTGTGAATTTGTTCCTTATTATGTGATATTTTTGATACTTAGTAGTTAAAAATTCTTGGAAGACGTCGATGTCTCCGTACCTTGCTCCATACCGTCTAGGAAGAGGGGAATTATGAAGTTGTGCCTTTAGATGTAACAAATCATATATTCTCCTGGAGAATGTCTATGGAGAATTTTTCCATAAGAATTTATAGTTTATTTTGTGTTCAATGTTACTTTGTATTTCGTAGAAAATATATTTTTGTTGAAAAAAAATTGTCTTTTTTTCTGATGTTTAACTTATACAAATATAATATAACTTCATACTTCCGTGACAAGAATTTGGCTTGATTTTTGTTTAAGGTCTAAATGTACTATATTTTTGTAGGTAGTTTTTAACGTAGTTTTTGTGTAGTTTTTGTGTAGTTTTTGAAGGTAGTTTTTAAAATTTTAAAACGTAGTTAATACAAAAAACTACGCTTAGTTTTTGGCGTAGTTTTTTGCTTCATAAACTACTTAACAACCCTGTTTTTGGGTCATAAATGACCTAGATACAAAATATTTTCATGGTGTCTGTCTGTCTCTCCGTCTGTAACACAATAACTCAAAAACCGCTAAACCGATTTTAACCAAATTTGGCACAAAAATACTGTGGCAGCCGAGAATCTGGCCATTAGTTTTTGGTGGTGGTGGGGGGGTTGTTAAGGGGTTATGGGAGGGGGTTAAAAATTTTTAAAAATCGTAACTCCAAAATTACAGTAGCTAGCGAAACGCGGTTTCCAATTTTTGATTAGGAATAATATTTGCAACAAAATTTGTAATAACATCAAAATCAAAGTCGGAGTTTTTGAGATAAAAAAATATGAAATATTGTTTAAAAAATTATAAACTCAGAAACAAACCAGCTAGCAAAACGCGGTTTTCACTGTTATGTACGGAAATATATTTTAAACAAAACTTAAGATAATATCAAAGTGTGTCGAAGCCGTAGTTTTTGGAATAAAGCCAAAAAACAAAAAAAAAATCCGTGTGGAGAACTCCAAACTCCCATCGGACGCGACCCCAGGTGGCGGATAGAGGAAATAACCGCGGACCAAAATTGGAAAAATTCCTTTACTTTGAAACTATAAGAACTGCCTACCAATTTTTTGGTAACATATCTTAGTACGGGCGGCTATACGTGCCGCCCGGCGCCAATTTTTTTTAATAATTGCTCTTACTGCAAGTTTATTAAGAAGATTATAATTTATCTTTATATTGAGTAAAAATGATAATGGTGTAGCTTAAAATTCGAGAAAAAAAATTAGAAATAGATTTGTGTGTCTAGAAAAGTTTTGTATGTTATTTTATAGTAAATGACAGCTAGAGATTGACCTCGCCAAAATTATCATTCCCATTATATCTTTGAGGCCGTTTTTTTTCGATCAAACTGCATTTTGGAAATGAACATTTTATAAAAAACTTTTATTTTATGGAAAATACTAGATAGATACTAGAATACATTTGATTGGAAAAAGTAAAAATAATTAAATTAGTTTTTCGACAAGTAGTTACCCTTGAAGAGAAATGAGAATTTCCCGAGCGCTTTTTCGAGAGATGAAAATCAGAAAAACGTCAATTGTTTAACGGGAAAAGGCGAACGCAAGCTTATCAAAGAGGTAACAACGTAATCTGCGAAGAATCGTTCCAGGACAATGGAACAAATAAGCGAGGTGCTCCAGAACCAATCCGGAACTTAACGAGAATCGGGGGCCAGATTATGGCAGTTGGCAATTCGCCCGCTGCGGTATAATGAATAAAACTTATTCGCTCAGTACGTTGGTTGTGGGTAAAGTTAATGTGGGAATAGATAAGATTCGGTTGCATTAGAACGGAAAAAATGTGTTGTGTAATTACATTTTTTAATATTACTTTTTGAATATTTTAATAGATTTTTTTTTATTATAGAATATTGTAGTGAAAAAATAGCATAGACTTTTGTGGATAAAATCCTATGACTTGCAAAATTAAGTACAGGGTGTCCCACTAAGAAGAGCTCTCGGCTGTATCACGGAAAGTATTAGTCGTATAGCTTGCGGCAAAAATTTTTATAACTAAAGAGGCTATGAGAAATTGCTGGAAATTATTTTCAAGTTTATGGAACGGCCACTAGAGGGCGCAACTGTTATAAAAAATAAGAAAATTGAGTTTTTACACAATTTTGCCTAGATATCTAGTACTATAAATAATAGCTTCATAATCTTCAGAAAATTTTAAATATTTTTTGTTAGAACCATTTTCCCCTATCTGTCAAAAATAAAGTGGTAGGGGAAGGTTCGATCTGTTTTTATTTAAATACATATTAATAACTTCGGACTGGATAAACGGAATCCAACAAGCGAGGGGTCGTTTAAAGAGTGTTTCTTACTTTTTTTTCTTTTTTTACCGATAATAATAAGCTTTTGAATGTAAACGCTAGGGCCGCGGTGTTACAATTTAACAAACATTGCGCGTCTTTTCAAAAAGGTTAAATGCGATAGTACATATAATTTTAGCTGATGGTAAAGAGTAAAAAAAGCTTAAAAAGTCAGCATCTTGATATCCCCTAAACCAAAGATATTAGCAAAATTATAATAAATACGAGAAAATAAGCCTTTAATTATATTATTTTTATAACACGGTTACAGTAGCCCTCTTGATTATGACCATTCTAATAAAAAATAAGATAAAACAGATTATTTTATTCAAAAAATCGACAATGTTAAACCAGAATACTATAATACTAGGTGTATTAAAATCTAATAATTAAGATATCAATGACAGTGAACAAGAAACGACGCCTCAGTGAAATCACGGTAGGCTTTGGAAACAGTTGCTTTTAAAGGGATAGTTTAAACGTCAAAATATTATTATATCAACATTTTGATAGTCTCAGCAGTGGTTTTTTATCTTTTGATTGCTTTTCTAAAAATACCTTTCTTCAAAGGAGAAAAAAACGCTGCTAAGACTATCAAAATGTTGATCTAATAACACTTTGACGTTTAAACTATTATGTACGTCAAAAGCAACTTTTTTCCAAAGGCTACCATGACTTCACTGAGGCGTCGCGCGTCGTTTCATTCATTGTCGTTGATATCTTAATTATTAGATATTAATACACCTAGTCTTATGGTATTCTGGTATATTGTCGATTTTAGAATAAACTAATCGTTTTTATCTTATTTTTTATTAGAATGGTGATACTCAAGAGAGCTACTGTAACCGTATTATAAAAATAAAGTAATTAAAGGCTTATTTTTTCGTATTTATTATAAATTTGCTAATATTTTTGGTTTGAAAGATGATATCAAGATGCGACTTTTTAAACTTTTATTACTCTTTATCATCAGCTAAAATTATATATACTATCGCATTTAATTTTTTTGAAAAAACGCGCAATGTTTGTTTAGCGTCCCCTAGGGTCTACATTCAAAAGCTTATTATTATTGTTTATACGGTATAATATAGAGTAAGAAACACTCTTTTAAACGAGCCCTCGCTTGTTGGATTCCGTTTATACAGTCCAAAGTTATTAATATTTAAATAAAAACAGATCGAACCTTTCCCCATCACTTTATTTTCGCAGATAGGGGAAAATGGTTCTAACAAAAAATATTCAAAATTTTCAGAAGGTTATGAAGCTATTATTTATAGTACTAGTTATCTAGACAAAATGGTGTAAAAACTCAATTTTCTTGCGCCCTCCAAACAGTTGCGCCCTCTAGCGGCCGTTCTATAAACTTGAAAATAATTTCCAGCAATTTCTCATAGCCTCTTTAGTTATAAATATTTTTTTTTCCGCAAGCTCTACGACTAATACTTTCCGAGATACAGCCGGGAGCTATTCTTAGTGGGACACCCTGTACAACCATTTCCTTTCTATCTTTAGAAGAAATATCCGCTTTTTAACCAATACTCTTGAAAAAACTTTCTCTCAGAATTAGTTTCTATATCTTTTTTTATAATTTTATAACATTGAGTCAACTTTAAATTTAATTTGTCAAAAACTGATAAATAAATAAAATAACTTGTCTTTTCGAACTTTATAGAATGTAGAATGTATGGGAAAGAAGTTAATCGCCGCGACCTTACAGATCTATTGTGTGTTCACCCCTTTCTTGAGTTATAACTCATCATACAGTCTCAAGGCTTTGACAAAAGCCATTACCTGAGACGGCTTCACAGAGGCTAGTTCTCTATCTTCGATATCAGTCGTACCAAAGTTTATGGCACGAAAGGTTGTCGTC